CTGGAAGACGATTTTCTACGACCACAAACAAAGCAGCAGCAGCAGCTTGTTGATTATTTGCGACCTGCCTTTGGTGATGACACAACTTCACGAAGCACTGTGTTCCCAGATGTCGGGCGTAGGATGCGTGAAATACGATGCGCCACCAACAGCTGCGATAAAGGTCTTCATTGAACTGGTTAAACGGTTACCCTATTCGGCCCGTTCGAGCTGTTTCATCGAAGGTTTTGAGCGTATGGAACTATCCATAAACGATTGTGGAGAATGCTTCAATAAAATGTAATGCTTAATTTCTGCAAGAAACAAAACGTGTTGTGCATCCGGAAACGTTTTGCTCAGCCCTCGTAGATGTCCGAATTTACGACTAAAACAGTAGACTGCGAAGAAAATTTGACCCCATCCGTCGTTGTTCCTTTCATAACACAACTTTCAATAGGATCACCGGCCACTGAACGAGATCCCGGCATTGGAATCGAATTATGTTAGAATGTGTGCACCTTGAATAAGACTCAAGCTTCACATTTAATGAGGCAAGCGATAAGCTCGACAAAAGTGAATTACACCGATCGATGGGGATCCGCATTTGAATCGCTAGAAGAAGAAAGAACAGGTCAGTTTTCTGAGGTGATGGCTGAGCTAGTCCTTTTCTTACAACATTATGAATTGTGAATTGTGAAAAGTTAAGTAACCTCGGCGGGATTCGAACCCAGGCATGAATGTCGCCTACCCTTTTTTGTACAGTGCACGCTCCCCACCGGCTGAGCTTCGAGGCCCCACCGACAGAGCACTGATCGTTTCACATTCAAATCACCTATCCAACTTACAGAAGCATATGGTATCCACCAGGTAGCATGTAACCTGACTGACACGATAGGTTTTCCTCAGAATTCACCACAGTCCACCGATAAACTTCCAGGATAAGGTAAAATTGCTCTTCAACATATGACTTTAATCTACCAAAGATCAATTTCTCAACATTGTTCGATTTCTATTCGAAATAGAATAGGCAAAACAGTGAGATGTTTACAAAATGTATAAACTAATCAGGGGTGGGGTGCGGGGGGGGACATACTGTTCGCATTCGAAACCATTTCGAGCCCCGAAAACGCGAACTGGATAGTAATAAACAGGCTGGGCACATGTGTGTGTATACAAACTGTCTCACCTCTCGTATTTCAAAAAAGTTCACATGTTTTCTGGCCAAATTTTCCCGTTCACGACGTAACACGATCAGACGATCGTTTAGCTCGGTCGTGGTCAGTCGAGTCTGACCAGATTGGATACCCCGTTCTGACAGCTGTTCGATCAACAGTTGTTCCACTTCATGTCGCAAACCTCTCAATGTGTCCGGATCCGCTCGTAATTGATCCAGCAGTCGACTATAGCGTAACACGTTTGTACTTAAATTGACACTTTGTGCCGGACCTAAACACATACAGAGAAAAACAGTTTTTGGCAAACCAAATGAGACCAAATTTAGTTTAGAGTAATTCAACGAGCAGAACATGAACTGTATTGTTTCCCGTGGGCAGTTTATACTGGAACGTGAGGAGAGAAGGATTTTTGGAAAATGTGGGTACGACTGTCATTACTGAAATTGCACAACTTATATATTCAAAAATAATTGCTATGCATCAAGCGAGGTGATCCAGAGGAACGTCAATCGGGATTATAAGGATGCGAATGGATGGAAATTTTTTTACAAGCAAACGATCGGTTTCGAGGTCTCGGTCACTCGCCAGGTATGCGTATTCGGCTCAACTTGAACAACTCCACCCCAAAAATCTAGGTCAGAATCACCGCATTGTTTCCCCGTAAGGTTGTCTTATCTCTAAACAACTCCCTGGAGTGTACATTCAGCTTTTATTGTATAATCCTCTGTCCCTACATTACATGGGCTTCATTTCAAGATATGTGAATTTTCAACTCGATTGAGTACTGTACTGATGTTCTGTTCAGTCGTGAACTATAGGTACGCACACTCAATTTTTCTTCTGCTTTAGAAATCAAGGCCCTTCGATTAAGTTTGACTAGGGAATACACAGGATCATAAAACATGTCCGAGAATCGTGCTTAAATTTGTACTTCTTCTTCTTTGCTGCGGCTGGCTTCTTGGAAAGGATAAGCTGGCTCCAGGCATGACCATGATCATGATCATGAAGACCCTTGGGAGTTTGGTACGAGAGACATCCCCAGCGTCACCTGGCGTTTTTTATTTTGAGGACGCACCTCTAGCCTTTGCACAACCAAGTGCGAACTGCAAAGCAGCAGGAAGTAAGCCCTCGCCTCGGAAGTGAGGGGGTTATTGAATTTAGTTTTAAAAGGTCAGTCACATCGACCTTTGTCACGAAACCGTCATTGGGCTTGTGGGGCTTCAAGCAGGAGCCAAGTGATCAGCCTGAAACCCACCACGCCCTGGTAGTACCGCCGCTGTTTGTTCTCGATTGCTCATAAGTTGCAGTATGTCACAACTTATTCATAGCTAACCTTCTCTGGTGAAGGTATCCCCATATACACAACCCAGGGACGCGTCCGGTAGCATTCAGTTCTGCTTAACCCGAGGGTAATTTACGGACTGAAGCGTTTTAGGGAAACTGGAGGGCCTAGCTATCAAAGCGGGAACCAAATTTATGCTGACACTGCTTGTGAACGTTTTAAGAACAGGAAAGGCTCATTTATTACTTACTGGGTGTTCCTGAAGCGGTCAACGCTCTCTCCATACCCCGAGATACCATTTGATTATCCGATTCGTCAGCCGTATCCTCCGTTTCCGCTACTCGATTCGTGCTGGCTCGTAAAGGCGATTGAGAAGAGCGTCGTTTTGAGCCATCAGTCCGCAATTCGGAACGCGTCGCAGTGTTCACAGGTGCCGGTGATGCCCTTGAATGTTTGGACACATGTTCGCTGATCGACCGAATTTCAGAGCGCATACTGGCCTTGGAACCGCTTAATGTAGGTTCATCATAAACGGGAACAGCTCGCCTACTCGGAGAAATATTGGATTCCGGCACACTTGACCGAACGGAAGATCCCACATTAATGATACGTTCCCTTGGCATCGCAGACTAAAAAAATGAAATATATAGGAATACATTTGTGTGTGCGTGAAATAAGTGAGACTTGTAGATTCCAATAAACGGTACTAAACTGGTGATGTATGTTGAAATTATGTGCAAACGTAAAACCTGGAACAAATAAACGGAATAACGGCAACGGAACCAGGTGAGAAACAAAAATGGCAAAATAAATTAGGATTTTTCTCGCACTAAAAAACAAACGAACGATACAATGGGAACTATACAAACGCATTTACTAACTCGGGGACGAATTACGGTGGGTGTAGGCATAAGATGGACACTTCGCATACTCGAACGTTCACTCCCAGTGTCAAACGGGCGTCGTCGTTGTTCGTCAGACCCGTCTTCATCCTCTGTGCGCACAATGACTATTTCCCGCGATCTCCCATCCAAAGAAGCGGCCCTTGTTCTTCGTCCTCCTGGTGATCTAGAGTTCTGCAAAGATGTGGATGATCCAGAGCGTGATTGAGGTCGGCGGACTTTTAAAAATACCGGTTCATCTCCACTCAAGCTGGCCAAAGCAATATTTGCTTTTTGAGGGCTTTGACGTCGACCAAACCCTACTTGGATTGCCGCGGATCGTACACGTTTTCGACGATATCTTCTTCGCTTCCTTTCACCGGGAGCATACTCACCATGGAACTGTCCATTCATGATATCACCATCTGTAAATTTCGGTCGCCAGCCTCGTTGTGCTCTAGTGTAATGAGTGTGTGAATGTATCCCTCTCGGTCTGGGATCCGCTGGATAGGTGATATCACTTTCTGCATTATCATCCTCATCCTCCCCGTCTTCAAAACTGTGCCTTCGAACAGGCGGTTCGAGTGAATGATTCCGCGTTCGTCTGTGACTAACGGGCAAGCCAACAACACTGTTCTCTGGCCAATGATGACTACCATGACAATCCAAAAGTGAGACGTGACGGTGTGCGCCTTCCTGGTGTGTTTGCACCGAGTGGTCAACCGCATCCTGTGTCTGTCCGGTTGAATGACCGATTTCGACAATGCCCATGCTAATGTTGGAGCTCACGGGTTTTGGTGTTAACCGTTCCGAGCGATTCGGACTGGGATGGTTTGTACTGGATCCCTTAGTCAGAAAAATCACAAGTTAAAGTGGTACCAGGTAGTGAAAACAAGAGGAGTTGGCACATTTTCTCGCTTTCAAAATGCACTTACTCACTCAATCAACCACTCAATCACACATTCAAAAATATTTCGAACCGGGCAACGATGGTACTTGAACCAACCAATAATCCAACAACCAATTATTTTTCTCGAAAGATATTCGGAGATTCCGGGAGCTACACAAGTTTGTGTTTGCGAACGACGCGAAAATATGGAAAACCTCATTAGCACTTCAGCGAACACCGAATACTGCCTATCAACGGCCGATCGAAAACGAGATTGATTTCAATGCAGCAACATGTATGATAGTATCCCTTCGCCACAAAACTCGGTCTCCGTACTTCCTAGGATGCCTCGAACGAGAAGGATCTCAGCGTCATTGTTCAATACGACCTAAAATGTTCGTTAAACTCCGCCACGGCATTGTCCACCACTGCGAGACATGCTGGTTTGCTAATGCAGGAATTTGGCCAATTTGAAACTATTTTGTTCGCACGCTTATCCGCTTAAATGTGACCCCACACAGAGTAAACCCTTAAAGTTTGAAATCCATGACTGGAACACTATCCTAAGATTCTGGAAAGTACACAAAGAGTGGCCACTAGAATGTTCAATGGACTGCATTCCAAGAGTTATATATAGATAATGGAATCATCGGGGTTTTAATCCACACGGTATCTCCGAATTCGAGAGAACCCAATTTTGGTGTATCAAATAATGCAGAATCTTGATCACCCATGTCGTTCACTGTCCACCTTATCGCCCAACACTCATCTCATTCAAATTAGTGCGCCAAAATGTTGGATAGAATTCCGTGTCAATTATTTACCCTCACAGTTTGTAGAATCTGGAATTCTCTACCATTTCTCAATGTTTCTGCGCCAGCAGTTGATTATTTCAGGCACGAATGGATGAAAAATTATCAGGTATTAAATTTCAACATCCATAACAGTGCAAGAAACGAAGAAAATTGGTGACATTCCTCATCATTCTATGAACCGCGAATCTATCCATTTGTGCGAAAATCGCCATGGGACAAGAAAAATAACCACTTGAAGTTTTGCCCATAATAAAAATGTGACTTTGCTGTCAGATTAGTGGAATATACGATAATATTCTCGCCAAACAAGTGAAACCAATAGTACCTATATGCAATTTAAGGTATGAGTGACAGAGGCAGAATTTAAGGCTTCACTTGATTCATTTGAGCGTAGGCGACGTCCATACATGAGTAGGAATACTACCGAGGTTATTGTTGCATATAAATATAGTATATTAATGGCTGGACAGGATGTCACAGAAGCACATGACCAATTTCGCGGTCTTTGCCGCTCATCAGGTAGGCGCATCCGGTTATCTTCTGTCTGGTCATTCTCATACTTCTTATAATTGAACTCCCGATGTGAGTTATGCAATGCAAACCTCATTAGCAACTCGGGGAGTGGATTCGAGACGAACATTCTCGAAGAATCATTACGACGATTCTGTATCGGGTTTTGTGGGTTAGATGCGTCCAACCTCAGCCAACTGGACGCTAGGGCCGATTTTCGGTATTTTTATAATGAGTAGTATATGAATAACTGCACAAAATTTCCTCTTTAATTGAATTTTCACTCATTTCACATTCCTATTCTGAACAGAAACTTTCAGAGTCAATCAACTAGAAGGCTGGATGTTGATAATTAAAAGGAAACAGCACCTCAGTGTGTCTCTGAAACAATGGATGCGGGTATATTCTGTTTACCATTGACTGAAGTAGTTACTTTTACCGTTTGAATTTAACTACTTGTATTTTTATAAGTAGCTGCAAACGAATGTGAACACGCTCATGTCATTCAGACGTTGTCAGTCCTGGGCTCGGACGAAGAGGCAAACGTACGTCAGGTCATTTTTTAAGTTTTTATGTGCAGTTTAGCTCACTGAGAAACTTTGCGCAAAGTTAATGCACCTCTCAATCGGATTCCAATAAAAAATACAAATAATTCGCAGAACTGGCAACTGGGTTAAAAAATCGCTCCGTGATGTTTTCACTCTTCAAGATTGGCACGCTAAGGGTATCTTCAACCGAGACTCTACCATTTCTGGTGCGAAAATAATTCACAGTGAGCTACAACAGTATCGTACTTCTCATCACGACTTCGGTTCTTTCACCAAACTTAAGGATACGATTTGGTCGGGTGTTTGTTTCAATGGTGAACAAAAATTAAACGAACTTCGTCTCAGACTTTTGGATATCATCAAACCATATCAATGCATTCATTTATAATTTCCCTATTAGCGTGAAGTATCCAAAAATATTTAAAGTTTTTCAGCCGTCTAATCAAAATTTATCCGGAGAAAACACTGTTTTGCCTTCGGGGAGTGGAGGTACTCAGATTAGTAATAGGTTGGGTTTGTGGCCTTTAACAATCACATCTTGATGACAAACGATCAATTATCATTTTAGAGGATTAACTCATTTGATTTCTCAGAAACACCAGGCACTCTTGGTGGTCTTGAGTGTGGGTTTCACTCCTTGGGAGATCGTTAATTATCGACAAGTTGATTGCATTTACATGCGATGGAAGTGTTTGTGATAACCAACAAAAAGCACTGGACAGCCGTTTTGTCCTGTTTGGGATTTGTCAGTTGTGTGTACTTTATTTGTGTCCCTGTCAGGACTCAAACCGCGATCGTTCAGTTCGGGACTTCAAACCCTTACCCCTGAGCTACACAGTCGACGGTGATCACCTTGTGCGAATGGCTCAATCAATTCTAGAGTATGAAGCTTGGATTAACTCATTCGATTGTTCAGAAGCACTAGGCACACTTGATGGTCTTGGGTTTGGGATTCACTCAGTATTGACCCAATCTGAAAATCGCATTATAATGAGGGTACCTAGAACCGGTTACTCGTGTATGGTTCCAATTGCCTAGTGTGTGTGTACTTTCGCGATATGCAGTGGTCGATTCATCGGTGTTGTTGATGTATAGTTCACATGCAGGCCATGTGAAGATCAAAAGTGGTCGTGACAGGAACTTTTGGGTGCTTGTAATTGTATTGTTGAGTACAATAAGATCGCCTCGAGAACAAGTACTTTCTAATGAATTTCCCCCATCATGAATGATATTTTTGGTTTTTAGCTGATCGAAAAGCGACAAGCCGAATTAAAGATACGTTAAGTCATTTTACACGGTTAATGAAAAGTGCGTGTTTCGAATCCTGGCACGGGGACACAAAAAGTACGCACATTGCTGACTAGTCACAAACTGGACAAAACAGTTGTCCAGTGCCCTTTGTCGGTTATCACAAAACATAGTCCATCGCGTTGAAGATCAATCATCTTCTTTTAAAGGCATGCAAAAGTACAAACGTATTTGCGTTCTATCACCAATTGATGAAGCCGTCACTGGTTTGCGATTTTACTCACAAATCATTTGATCTATGGAATTTCAAAATATTCTATCAGTCTTATTATGAAGTGTCGTTGAGACAGGATGATTTACTACCCAATTCTATCATATGGGGACGAATAGCCTTTCAATGGTATTTTCTAAAGCATCCCATGAACACCATGATCGTTGTCGCAAGAAAAACCTTCAAACTGAATGCGCCACCCTCTGGATGTTGATGCAAAGATGAGTGAGTGTGGTTGAAAATAACGGTCATCTGATCAGAAACTTAGACCAATCAGTTTGTTTGGTGAAACGCTTGTGTTTTAACCATGAGCTTTGTTCGTTTTCGGTGGTACGACCGTAGTGGGTACCCATAGTTATCTGCTGAGGACTGTACACTTTCCCAAAATTCTTCAGTTCAGGTTTACTTTGAGTTGGATGTAATGAGTTCGCATTGAAAATCTGCACTAACTGAATCAGTGGTCGGTTAGGCCTCTTTCCTGTACGAAAACAGAATCCTTCAATTGGAAATAGGATACAAATACCAAATAACGAAGTAGACAGATGAAGTAAAATAAAATAACAATAACCATGTGCAGGAGTAAAAGTTTTCTTGAGGAACAACTCCACTTCCAGGATAGAATAAAGTCGAAGAATCCAACGGGCTTTTTCCAAACCATCGTTTGATTGGATAACATGTTAGCTCAGCGACCAGTGCTACACTCACCTCTTTAACTGGTGACATTTCTCGAATTGTGACGGGGAGCGCGGCCGATTCAGTTTTTTTGTCCGATGGAGACTGGGAAAAAAAACAAAAAACAAATGATTAATAATAATAATAATAATAATAATAATAATAGTCTGATCACAAGTGAAGTCGTTTACTGAGAACTGATATGTTAAATAGGGATAGAAAAAATGTATCGTAAGACTGATTCAAGGTAGACATCCATCCAACGGGATAAAGAATGTGATTTGACCAACATTCCTACTGGTATGAACCTACATTCAAAAAAATCAATGAATAGATTCTCGTGGTTTAAGCCTTATTGTTTATCTTCTAACTGTTACTTAAACTTGAACAGGAGGGTTTTAAAGGTCTCCCTCGAAAACTTAGTCATTTCAAAGCTAAAGATGCTCGATAGCTGACTCCTTTCATACAAAAAATTTGTGTTCAGTGTGCGACAGACAGTTAACTCACACTTCAATTTACTCCAAAGCCCTGTTGGGAAATATGATAACGAGTACTTTCCAGATCTGACTGTTTTGGGGGTTGTTAAAGAAGAATAAAGAAGAAACATATCTATTCGTAGGCAGCTCACAGTTACTCATGAACATCAGTGTGGGATAACTGACATTGACGCGGACTGACTATCGATTAGACTTCATTTTCACGCGCACTCCTCAGTTTATACACTCGGGAAGCACTATGGAATCAAGTTTCGCACTTATTATAGCTCATCAGTCGTGCATATTCACTGTCCCTTCTGGGCTTTGAACTCCGGATCCACTATAGTTTGTTCTGACTGTGAATGTTGAGAGGACAAACGATCGCGATAGTAATGAGTAGACGAATTCAATCTTCCATCAAATTCGCCTACTTTGCGGCTGAACCCCGCATTATATTCACCTCCAAACCGGTCCTCTTTATGCAGACTAAAAACAGATTACCCCTGGATGCGACCTCATTCTGTGTTTATCAGTTCACCTGTTCCTCTGGAGCAAGTTATGTGAGTCGAACGGTGAAGCGTCTATCTTACCACATCATCATCCCGTTTGGTTGAATTAGGCATTGACAAGGATCGGGGCGACGGCCATTACGAACCATTTGACTGAGTCTACTCACACAGTCAATGTGCTTGAGGCTTTCCGTCTTCCCTATACGGTGAAGGGTAGATTATCCAAAGAGGTCTAGTTTGGAATTTTGTCAACAGCTGAGGCGATTGCCATCCGTCTCCACCCACCCANCCCCGTCTTCTTGCTGACCCGGAAACAGTTCCTAAGAAAGCTGCTCTTACCGTGGCCATCCACTAACAATCTGGTGTCGTAACCTTCGTTCATAAACTTTCACTTATTCACCTACCCACCTATTCAAAACCACCCTCTCTCTTCCACTTTCCACCCATATACATCTATAGCCCAGTTCGGTAGCCATCCATCCGAGGAGTGCACTGAATGGGGACATGACATGTGAAAACTGTGAAGTACCACTTTTTCATACAATCAATCTTATCAAAAAAGAAGAAGCAGAACGACAAAGTATACTTGCNNCAATTCCATTATGACTCAGAAATCCTGAGCATCTTATTTTAGTTCTACTACTGAATAACTTTTTTCCTAACCCACAGAGACAAAACCTATCAAACATCAGTGAAAAACAGTGAATGAAGAATCAGTACCAGACTGTTTTTGTTTTCCGTCGCAAATTTGCATAGAGAAGTTCAAAACGTGGGTTTGCACAATGTACCTATGGTCCTTTCACTGCACCTGTGCACGTGCATATACTGCAATCAAAGTGATTTTTATATAGTCAGTAAGATCATAGCTGTGAGACGAAGACTAGATCGGTCCTAATCACAAGGGACAACACGACACAGTGACACAAAGAACGGGAGAGGGTTAATCACCAAGGCAAAACTAACCATTCATTGTTGTTTGCATAGATCGGATTTGAGAGTATGAATGGTCAGAGTAGCCTCGGCAAATTTAAGTTTTGTTGTATTGTAGATGATCGGAAATGCATGGGTTGGAGTGACACAATGCTTTTGTTTGAGTAAATGTTGTGTTATCGAAGATCTATAAGTCTTTTTTGCTCATTCGATGATGTAACGGTTGCAAACTTGTCGGTCGTCACTTTCTTAAGCCACACCGGGATGTGTGCGACCATTCATTCGGTCCTGCCTATGTAGATGACTGAGCATCTACACTTGGATTGGTAAATACAGTTTGATTTAGCGGATCGGAGGGGGGCAATGGTTATCTCACCGATGTCGATGGTTATCCGGGTGTTAGCGAATGTAATGACCGGGTCAACTGCGCAATAGATTCGCTTGACGGCATAGTTTAACTGCTTGCTAAATAATCCACGTCATTGCTTTTGTATGATGACTTTAAGAACGCTTACGCTTTGGAGACATGTATTGGTTTTTGTACTTTTGGTGTTACTTTACTGTGCTTGGCGATAAGTGCAACCGGATACCCATTTACGTATAGGTTTTATTTTAAGAGATCACTTACATCGTTAAACGAGTCCTCTGTGCATATTTCACGAGCTCGATGTAACAGTTTCGAACCAGACCAATTTTATTTCACATGCGGTCGAAGTTTATGAAATGCAAATATTGCCCAGACCATATGTTCTTTCGAAAGATCAATCTTTTAACTGTTCCATCTGGTCGACGAGTAATGTTCATATCTCGACGCGGTCGTCCCGTTCATTGTGACCAGTTAGCTGGATTTTAGGGTAAATTGTGTTGAATCGATAGAATAGGTAGATTTTTTCGTTTGTCATTAAATGGCTTATAACAAAGATGCCATCAACATAGCGACAACATAGATCCAGTTTTGAAATATCCTCTTCGGGCCTTTTTCTAGGTGGCCAAGGAAAATATCCACAAGAATCGATCCAAGCGGACGCTCATAACGACCCTACCTATCTATTGACATCCTTGTTCAAGGAACGAAAATCAAAGTTTGAACGTGCATCAGGATTGCAATCGTGATAGTCTACTGACCTGTAATTTCTTTTCCTCACTTATTTTTACAAATAATCCCGATGGTCTCATGCAGTGGAAAATTTGTGAATAGCGATTTGACATCCATTGTAAACATCTATCTTTTTTCTATATATACATATATATATATATATGGGTCAGATGTTTACTCATCTCAAAGCTGTCTTTGACATTATCTCGAGTAATTGAATCGCTCACCGGTACCGGAGCTAACCACTTTGCTGACTATGAAAAAAGGCACTTTGACTGCAGTGTGCATGTGTATGCATGAAGCGAAATGACCATGAACACATTGTGTCAACCCATGTCGCTGACTTCTCCATTCCAATAAGAGTCATAAAGCTGAACTAAAAGCTGCAAGAATAACTCACTTTGGGCACATCGTCCACGAGTTCACCCAAATTAGAAGCAGCTGTATAAATGGGGAAAAGGTTATGCATCAAACTTTAAGGATTGTCTCGTTTCTAAATAGATCATGCGAAAGTCAATCATTTGAGAGCTAATGATTAGTTTTTATCTTCGATCTATTCGAACGATTTCCAAACAGGTGAAGCATGTTCCGTTATTGGATATAACCAACACAACACAAACCAATCGGCTACTAATCGACCATTGGACTATACGTGAATGAATGTATGAACAGTGTTATAGAAGTTTGAATGGAAATAAACTCAACGGAATGAGTGAGTGACCGAGAGTTTTCATGGTGTGCTTCATGGGAAAAGCAAATCACATTACATTTGATGCACTAATACAACCTCTATATTATTGCAGCTCCAAGCACTGAAATTTAATTGCATTTCTCGGCCATTCGTCCGATCTTTTAATCAAGTTGTTAGCGAAATGAACAGATGAAATCTGAGAACCAATATTGAAGTACAAATATCGAACGCGGGTTAAATAGAGATGCAAGTGATTCACCTGAACATCCAGACATACCTAGATTGAATAAACCATTTTACGGGAAACGGAGAAGAGTATTTATTATTATTTCACACACATCTGACGCCAGACAGTGTGCCAACTCATGGTACAATAATCTTTATAAAAAGAAAAACTTTCCTTGGGCGGAATACTGCCAGGTTGCCCAGACCAACCTGGTGGGTAAATTTTCTCGGGGAATCCACAGCTGGAGCCTTTGGCTAGTCAAGCCTGACCCGAAAGGCACCGCGGGGTGGGGTGTGAAAACCGCAATCCATTGGGGGTCGGTGTTCAGTTCTCATCGGATCATACACTCTTTG